GCTTGCAAATCGCGTGATTCGCAAAGTCTGACATCGGCCTTAAACCGCCCCAATTTGATGTCTTCGTCGGAGATCTCTCGCTTGTGGCTACTGTGATCTCGCAAACTCAAACGTTTGCAACACTGCAATTGGTTCGCCCATCACGGGGTACTGTACTTCCTCTCTCCAAGGTCTAGCCTCAGGGCGCTCTCTCCAACTTACGAATTTGGTGTTGTCGAGCTAGGCGCCGTTCTCTAATCGTCTGTACTTTAGTCATCCATGGCAAAAAGCACGGAGGAAAGTTGGCGTAGTGTTGGAGTAGTCACATAACCCTTTAGCGCCATGACGGGCGATCTACTTTTAATCAATGTTCAATTATTGGACAGTCACCGCATTCGTTCTGGTTGCCGTTGACGTGTGGCCCATCGCTGGCCTTTCCTCTCGTTCTTCTCGAGCTAGTTCCTTGTCAAACAAACCTCGCTAACTTTTGTACTTCATCAACGGCCGTCTCTAGTCGTTCGTTTGTGCAGTAATGCATTTTGGCGGTCAATAAAGAACAACGTGTGCAGGGCTCCGCCCCAGTTCGCGAGCCTTTCAGTGTGCACGTATCGGCGCGCCACATTACAATCTTCAGCAACGCCGTGTACTCCAGTCGTGTACTCCGTCCTCCGGCCAGTCGACTCGTCCTCTCCTGTTGTTCTGCTTATCACTTCCACAACCTCATATCAACACCCGCCGACCTCAGCGGTGTTTCCCATTCTTCTACAAACTTCACTCTCATTTCTTCCGTTTCGAACTTCAGTTCAGGTGAGCGCTGTTAGCTCAGTCTCGGAAGCTGGTCAAGGTAAGGTTCAAAAAGAAGAGTGTTGGACAAGGAAATGAAATCAGTCAGCTTCTCGTCATTCACGCAATTGAAAGTTTGCAATCCAGCCGTATTCCGGTGCATGTTTTCTTGTTTCCATTTCGCTGTAGTTGTATGCTGTCGCTCTCGCCGAGTTTTTTTTTTACAAGTTGAATCGGGCTCCTTCATTGTGAACTTCTTAGGAAAAAGAGCGTTCAGTAAAAGCAAATTATCTATCTCTTGTCCCTGATGTTCCGCTGGTTCGTCGATTCGTTCTTGGTAGAAATCGATCTATTGGAAGGCTATAAAGTTGTCGATTTGGTGCTCTGGATTGCCGCGGTTTACGAGTTTTCCAGTGTGCACAGGTGGTTACACTGAGCTGATGGTAGTCGGCTGGCTTGCTACCGGGTCAATATACCGCACATGGCTCCGCTTCCCTTTTCGACCTTGCTGTGTTATGACGAGTCTTCGCTATATGGGTGGTACGTTTTGAACTATAAAGCGCTAGTACTTGAGGAATCTTTTTTCTTGGATGTTCATAGGAAAGGCATGAATAAACCACTTCAATCAAAAAAGGGCGCTCATCCGGTAAGGGGGGGGGGCATTGTGATGCAACGTCTAATAGCTGCCCTCACCCCCCCCTGAACTGGCTTCACTCCCCCTGGCTCACGGGGTCCCGTACTTCGAGAAACCTGTGCGCCAGGGGGAGTGTAGGCAGTCTAGGGGGTGGGGGTGAGGGCAGCCACTTGATGCCCCCCTTACTGGATGAGCGCCAAAAAAAAGTTAAGCATCATTCCGTGCTCGTTTGATTCTGAAAGTTCGTGCTGTGCTTGTGAT